TATTTTTAATTTATTATTTAACCTCTCTTATTTATAATAAAGATGTTTTATTCATTTTTTATATATTATTAATTAATTTATTCTTTCTGATAAAAGATTATTCAAGTTAACTAATTTCATAATATAACACATATTCGTAGTTGTTCAAATTTTTATCAAGTTTTAAAATAATTTAATGGTTTTTTATTTTTCAGCATTTTATGTAAAATATATTTCAGTAAGACTATTAAAAATTGCTATCATCGATTATCTTCAATTTAATATAGATTTTTGTTATAACATCTCCACTTAAATCTACTAACTTATTACTTTAACTTTTGCTGTAATTACTTTATATAATGTTTAATTAATTATTTATAAAAACAATTTGTCATTCAGAAATTTTTAGAAGGTTATGATCATCAAATCCACATAGTTTTTCAGTATTTATTAGTTAAAGGTAATCAAATAATTTTAAGGTTGTAACTATTTAAAATAACTAACCTATTTTAACTTCAGATTGCTTGATTCGAAAAGTAGTCTATTCATTAATTAGATATACTTTTGTGATTATCGAACTTCTTTGTCTGCATATCATAACCTTTTATTATAATTTCATATAATGCAGAATATATTGATCCAATAACATTTTCCACTTGAATAGAAATTAGCATTTATTATTTTAATTTTTATTCAAAATTTACATTTATGTTTTGGATTTGAAATTATGTTTTAAAATGAGATTAAATTATTTGAGAAGATGAAACATTCCTTAATTAATATAGCAGAAATAATAAATAAAGAACGTGATTTTTAAAATGAAATTTTTATTTTCATTAATTTATTTATGACGGACTTTTATTGTTATTCAAATAAAAAGGAAGATGTTTAAATTCTAATGATATTTCAAAGAAATTGGCAATTTTTTTTGACAAAAAAAAATTGCTTACACAGAATAAAACTATCCCATGTATTCTAAAACATATCGAATGATAGCATATTGAATAAAATTAATTGTGTATCATAATTTATAAAATTAAGTTTGATATATTTTCATAAATATATCAGATAATAAAACATTAATTAACATTTTTTTTTAAATTTCTAAATGAAAAAGTTATTTATGAATATTTTGTATTGAATATGGTTTATATTTTAAATATAGAAAATAATTAAGAATTTATATTAAATTAGATGGTTATCTAATTGTTTTCTAGAGAAAATAACAATTATGTTAAATTATTATTTTTAAAAAGTGAATGTTTGAAATATCTATTAGATTAAAAAAGATTGATACAAAATTTCTATTTTCAATTAATTTTTAATAAATATCATCAAAAAAATTATAGATTAGTATTTTGTTCAATTCCCTTTCATAAAATATAATTGTTATTTAATTCATTATTATTATGTTATTAATCATCTTCCAATATTGTTTTTCTTTTTTTTTACCTTAAAAATTTATTTCTAATTTATATTAATTTCCCTCAAACATTTTCAATGTCAACAGGCTAAAATTCTCTAGCTTTTCTTACAAACTATTTGAACTTTTTAATCCAATTTTTTATGACAAAATTAGCAAAATAAGTAAATTACATTTGATTAATTTTTCATTCATTAAATGTTATAATTAATTGAATTACAAAGGCTTAAAGGATGGCTGAACTGAATTTCTTTAATGCTGCAATAATTTAATAGTTGAGTTTAAGGTTTGTTCTGCAATCATATTTAGCTAGGAGATTTTTCAATTATCTCTAAACTTTCCCATAGGATTTAGTTGAGGAGTAAAAGGAGGTAAGGATATGAATTCTTTCCAAATTGAGAATTTCTAATGAAATGATGTGTTATTTAAGATAAAGAAATAATTCCTCAACCATACTGTTTATTGCATTAGGATAGTAATCTTAGCAGAAAACCCTTAATTCATTTTGGATTAATTTTGTCTCTAAAGAATTAAAAAATTTAAAGATCTGACCCGATTGCCCTGACTATACTTATTCTCTACTTAACTTAAGCCCTGCCAATTTTTAAATGAAAATAATTTTAGCTCCATACATCTAAATTATAATGCTCATTACCAATTCCAGATTCATCTAAATAATCGTTTATTAGATTCAATATGTGATATAAAAAATAATTTATAAAGGAATTGCTTGATTTTATTCTATTTTTTGGTTGCTTTAAAGTTGGCCTTAGATGTATTCTTGTAAGTATATACAAGTCATTTAATTAAAGATCTAAAATGTGAAAGTGATAAATTATCAGTCTTTAAAATTCAGTTCTTAAAAAATCATTAGAGATTTTTTTTAAAGGATAAAGATTTTCATGATTTTAGTAGTTCATATATTTAAATTTTATTCTTGAATCATATATAAACAATCTTAATAGGAATGACTCAACTTTAAACCATCTTAAGTCTGGTGCAATTTTTATTTGACATTCCAAATAATATAATTTATTTTATTATTATTGCTTCTTAAATGGTTTTGAAAAAGCGGAATATTGTTTTCTGATACGTTTTATATTTTCCATTTTAATCATTTTGTTATATTGAATCCAATAGGCTTTAACATAATTGTTAACCTATTCGAATACTAATGATAGCTGTAGTTTAAACACGATTGTAAAATTGTCTTAATAAATTTATTAATTTTTTTCGGTTATCCAAAAATTTTTAGTTCATAAAAATGATCTTTCAACAAAATTTTTTGTATAAATTATTTATAATTTACTGTCTAACAGTCACTTAAGAAATATATATTTTGAATTTTGAATTTCATATTATTATTCTTAACAATTTATAACGATTATAGAAATTTATATAACATAATTCTTCTTATGAATGAATTTTAAACAATTGAAAATGATAAATATTGTTATTTGATTAAATTTATATCTAATAATTTTTAATGCTAAATAGAAATTTTTAAAATATTGTTATAATTATGAATATTTAGAAAGTACTACTCTAAGATTAACTGTGATCATCTTACATTCACATCTCTTCAAGTTTTCACAAATATGTGGAGGTAAAAATAACCTGTCCAAAAAGTAGATTTTCACTTTTTCAAATGGGGGGGATTGCATTGTGTGGAGACAAATTTTCCATGTCCAAAAAGTAAAATTTAATTTTTTCTCTAAGGTTTTTAAAGAGCCTGAATTACTTTTTGTTTTGGATTCTTCGACCAAAAAGAATAACAATTTTCACCAATAGATAAAGAGTAAGATTTTTTTTTACACGTTTTCCCAATCTCCCATTTGTTCTCAAATAATTACCATTATTTATGCCAAAACAAGAATGAATGAATCAATATGAACTCAAATAAAAATTAATTGAATTTTTCATATAAAATATTCTATATCATTTAAAAAACAAGCGATGAATACGTTGAAATGTATTCTCAATAGCATCTTTTACATCTATTAATATCAATTCCAAATCTACACAAAGTCCTACTTTTTTTTACAAAAATACATAAGATATTTTATCGATTTTGCAGTATATAACATCTAATTTGAGTAATAAAATTCGATATTTAAAATAAAACAAGAAAATGTACACTTTTTAGAAGAAGGAAGCTCTATCTGATATCTTTGCTTAAGTTAAAGATGTAGATAAACAAATATTTGGTGTCATATTAGAAATATTTCGAAAGGAAAAACTTAAAGACTGTATTGGATATCTTATGGATAATGGAAATCAAAAAGATGTAGAAAAATCTATCATACAACAAAGAAAGAATATAAACTAAGCCCAAAATGAAAAGATGGTGTATGATTTTAGAGAGAACATACAACAAATTACTTATGTTTTAAAAAAATTAAAAAATCATAACTTTAATAAGAAAGACTATTCAGCCGATGAAGATTAAAAATCAATACAAAATTTGATTAAAAGAATCAGAGATAATGAAAAGATTATCGAATTTTTATAATTTTTAGTTTAGCTCACATCCTTCGATACAACTTTAATATAATGTGGGTCCAATTCATTACATGTTTTAGTTTAGATGAAGGTGGACCTTAGATACAAAAATTTTGAAAATATTAAGATCCAAAATACTTCTTTGATGGGAGCTAATTTAGTGAGATGTAATTTGAATGGATCTGAATTTGTTAATGTAAATATAAGTGGAGTCAATTTGAATGGTGGTTAACTCATGAATTGTAAATGGAATAACATAAGAATCCATGAATTAGATAAATTAAATGGTCATACTAGTTTTGTCTAATCAGTCTGTTTTTCTCCTGATGGAAATACATTAGCTTCTGGTAGTGAAGATAAGTCTATCCGTCTATGGGATAGGAAAACCGGATAACAAAAAGCCAAATTAGATGGTCATACTAGTTTTGTCGAATCAGTCTGTTTTTCTCCTGATGGAAATACTTTAGCTTCTGGTAGTGAAGATAAGTCTATCAGACTATGGGATGTTAAGATTAAGAAAAAATTAGCCAAAATTGATGGTCATACTAGCACTGTCTACTCGGTCTGTTTTTCTCCTGATGGAAATACATTAGCTTCTGGTAGTGAAGATAAGTCTATCCGCCTATGGAATGTAAAAACAGGATAATAACAAACCAAATTAAAAGGCCATTCAGAAACTGTCTGGTCTGTCTGTTTCTCTCCTGCTGGAAATTTATTAGCAACTAGTAGTGGAAGTAGTTTTGGTTAATGCATTGATAACTCAATTCTTCTATGGGATGTATAAACATTACAACAAAAAGCCAAATTCGATGGTCATTAATAAGGTGTCAACTCAGTATGTTTCTCTCCTGATGGAAAGACATTAGCTTCTGGTAGTGATGATAAGTCTATCGTTCTGTGGGATATAAAAACAGGAGAACAAAAATCCAAATTGGATGGTCATTAATATGGTGTCAAATCAGTATGTTTCTCTCCTGATGGTAAGACATTAGCAACAAGTAGTGGAAGTAGTTTTGGTTATTGCATTGATAACTCAATTCGTCTATGGGATGTATAAACATTACAACAAAAAGCCAAATTCGATGGTCATTAATAAGGTGTCAACTCAGTATGTTTCTCTCCTGATGGAAAGACATTAGCTTCTGGTAGTGATGATAAGTCTATCGGTCTGTGGGATATAAAAACAGGAGAACAAAAATCCAAATTGGATGGTCATCAATATGGTGTCAACTCAGTATGTTTCTCTCCTGATGGAAAGACATTAGCTTGTGGTAGTAATGATATGTCTATCCTTATATGGGATGTTAAAACAGGATAACAAAAAGCCAAATTGGATGGTCATAATGATAATGGCACTGTCAACTCAGTCTGTTTCTCTCCTGATGGAAATACATTAGCCTTTGGTTGTGATGGCAACTCTATCTCTCTATGGGATGTAAAAACAAGATAATAAAAAGCCAAATTTGATGGTCATACTAACACTGTCTACTCGATCTGTTTTTCTCCTGATGGAAATACATTAGCTTCAGGTAGTGAAGATAAGTCTATCCGCCTATGGAATGTAAAAACAGGATAATAACAAACCAAATTAAAAGGTCATTCAAAAACCGTTTGGTCAGTCTGTTTCTCTCCAAATGGGAATATTTTAGCATCTGGTAGTATTGATGACTCTATCCGCCTATGGAATGTCAAAAATGGATAATTAAATGGCTTTTTGTCAGGTCATTGTAGTTATTTCTATTCAGTCTGTTTCTCGCCTGATGGAAAAAAAATAGCGTCTGGTGGCGATTATGGTAATGTCCAACTATGGGATATTAAAGCTTCGAGCAAAATAGTTGTCTTAAGAGGTCATTTCAGCTGTGTAAAATCAGTCTGTTTCTCTCCTGATGGAAAAACATTAGCTTCTAGTAGTGATGATACGTCTATCTGTCTATGGGATGGCAAAACAGGATAATTAATAGCCAAATTATTTGCTCATACTAATTATGTTAGATCTGTATGTTTCTCTCCTGATGGTAATACATTAGCTTCTTGTAGTGATGATATGTCTATCCGTTTATGGGACATTAAAACATAAAAGGCCAAACTAAATCGTCATTATAAAAATGTTAGATCAGTCTGTTTTTCTCCTGATGGAAATACATTAGCTTCCGGTAGTGAAGATAAGTCGATCCGTCTATGGGATGTAAAAACAGGATAACAAAAAGCCAAATTGGATGGTCATTAAAATGGTGTCAACTCAGTATGTTTCTCTCCTGATGGAAATACAATAGTTTCAGGTAGTAAAGATAAGTCGATCCGTCTATGGGATGTAAAAACAGGACAACAAAAATTCAAATTGGATGGTCATCAATATGGTGTCAACTCAGTCTGTTTTTCTCCTAATGGAAATACATTAGCTTCCGGTAGTGAAGATAAGTCGATCCGTCTATGGGATGTCAAAACAGGATAATAAAAAGCCAAATTAGATGGTCATACTAGTACTGTCTATTCAGTCTGTTTTTCTACTGATGGAAAAATATTAGCTTCTGGTGGTTAGGATAAGTCTATAAGTTTATGGGATGTCAAAACAGGATAATAAATTGCAAAATTAGAAGGTCATAATAATTTTATCAATACAGTTTGTTTTTCTCCTGATGGTAATACATTAGCAACCGGTAGTGGATATACTAATGGTTAAAGTATTGATAACTCAATCCGTCTATGGAATGTAAAAACAGGACAACAAAAAGCCAAATTGGATGGTCATTAATATGGTGTCAACTCAGTATGTTTCTCTCCTGATGGAAATACAATAGCTTCGGTTAGTGATGATTAGTCTTTAATTTTATGGGATGTCATTACATAATAAAAACATGCAAAATTTGAAGGTCATAATCATTGTATCAACTCAGTTTGTTTCTCGCCAGACGGAATTACACTAGCAACTGGTAGTGGAAATCCTTTTGGTTTAAGTATTGATAACTCTATACGTCTATGGAATGTCAAAACAGGATAATAAAAAGCCATTTTGGATGGTTATTAATATTAAGTTTAATCTGTCTGTACCTCTCCTGATGATGGAAATACATTATCAACTGGTAGTTATGATAACTTAATCCATCTTCAGGATGTCAAAATAGGATAATAAAAAGCTAAATTTGATGGTCATAATGTTATTTCAGTCTGTTTCTCTCCTGATGGAAATACATTAGCTTCTGGTATTTATGGTTGCTCTATTCGTCTATGGGATGTTAAGAATGGAAGAGAAATTTCATCAACTAACAAAAAATATAAAGACATTCTTACTAAATTTAAAGCCCCACTTTTTTTAGAAAATCCTCTACCAAGTTTTTATATGATAATTATTTTTTAGAATAAAACAATATTACAATTCTTAGAATATCTCAAACACCATTATTTTAAGCATAAGGAGCTTTAATCTTAAAAGGAGATTTTATAAATTATGAGGGATACGATCTAAGATCATTATTCAAATCAAAAGGTAGTTACATTTTAGAAGACTTTTAGAAAAAGTGATTTTGATTATTCAACATAAATTATAATTAGTGATGTAATTGAATGCTAAAATATCAAAAAAAATTAATATTACCTTCTTATATTGCACTATTTTATTAGAGCAGAATTTTGAATTATGCAAGAATATCTTTGTACTTATCATTTACACAACATATGAAAGATTAGTATATAATTTCCCAATTTTTTTTCCATTTCAATTAAATGTACACCTCCTTTACTTAAATACTTAGTAAAATATGCGGTCAGTTTGGTGTAGGGAATATTTATGGAGATATCATAAAAACTGTTATCAATTAATATTTATAGAGATTTAAATTTAAATGATATTACATTCAATTAATAATCTAAACAGAGAATAAGAAAGCACAATAAAGAGATCAAACTGAAGAGTGATATTATTACTTAAAGAAAACTAATTTAACAAAACTGCATTTTTTTTTAAATAATCTAGGATATTATATGATAAATTTACTTAATTTATAGCTGTTTAAAAGCAGGATTATTCTTATTAATTATGATTAATAGTTTTGTAAAATTAGTTTATCAATAGGAAAAGATACAATTAATAACAAAGATAAGAAAAAAGACAAATCAAGAATTTAAAAATAAAGTCAATCTTAACAATAATCTAAACTATAGCAAAGTTTAAATATTGAGATTGGACTTTTTTAAAAATTACTCTACTCTATATATATTTTCATAACCTTTTATTAAGAAATTACTCTAAATTAATATAAAATACTTACCAAGATTGGTTTTGTTTTATAAATTTACATAATGAATAATCTTACAATAATGAATTTTTATTTCTCTATAACAATGAGATTATAATGATAAATTTTAAAAGTAACTAAATATATTAAGAATATGAAATTTATGATATTAATCATTAGGCACAAGTAAATGTATGTGAATATTTTCTTGTATTACAAAAATTTATTCACTAATATACAATTTTTCAATTATAATTTAAAAAATTGTTGTTTATAAAGTTAATTAAAAATACAGGGTCTACCATTACAGGTGGTTAAAAAATAGATTTTTAAATTTAGTATAATATTTAAAGGGCAAGTCCATTTTCTTCTCAAATTTTCTCCTCTCCCATCTTCTATTTCTACTTTTTACTCTTCTTTATTGCCTCTGATGGCATAGAGAATTTAGCTACCCCTATATACCCCTGCTTCCTGTGTAAATTACAATATTTCATGCAAAAGGGTTGTTATAAAAGGGATGTTTTGCATTTTTAACCTAAATTTCGTTATATCTATTCTCTAAAGAATAATTATATTATCGTTTTTTTATATCCCAAAGACGAATAGACTTATCACTACACCCAGATGCTAATTTATTTCCATTAGGAAAGAAACAGACTGATTAGACATTGCTAGTATGACCATCTAATCTGGCTTTTTATTATCCTGTTTTGACATCCCCAATAAACCTTCCTTGTGAATGAATTTTTTAAACTTTGCCAGTTCTTTTCGATTGGATTTAATTAAGGTGTATATTGTGGTAAAAATAAGTTCCTCACAGCTTATAAGACTAGCTTTTAATGGTGATAATGGAATATATTTGGTTCCATCAGTTGTGCATGATACTCTTGTGACAAATATAAGTTGCCCTTTTGCTCATCACTGCAATCCTTCAATTTCAAGTATAAGCTGTGGCATTCCAATAACAAATACCATCTTTTCAATTGTTACTACATGCTGTTTATGTCTTGTAGCTACCACAAGTTGATTTAGCAATACATGCTGTTCCATCAGCCATACATTTTGATCCATAAGAGACATATTCATCATTAGCAGCAGCAATAAATTCTGTGCATTATCCAAAATTCTAGCATGTTCCAGTGGGTAACCATCCTCAAGCTCCATCAGTTCCTAAAACTCAAGAAGCCTTTAATGTAGTACTGACAAAGGATGAAATAAGTATGCAAGGATCCCAATTGGTTGCATATAATTGTGAAAATGCTTAGCATTCAGAATGTGTCTTTTTCACTGCATCTTCACAACTGTCATAACATTATCCATTAACCCAAAGACATGGTCAAAGTTTAGATTGAAAACAGAATTGCTTATTAGAGAATTTAGTATATGATATCCGATCACACAATGTGGTCCATTTGCTTTACATCTTGAAAGGAAGGTATTACATTCACCATCATTTAAGCCATTTTTATAACTGCAACCTCTAGCTCTGCTTTACTTGTAGTAGTATCCCAACCGTATCTACCTACTCCATCTTTAATTGTTGAAGCAGCTATAAAATAGTTTGTGTCTTTTATAATGAAAATGTTGAAATAGCTATGCAAGCAGCTCCAGTCGTAGTACAAATATCAGCAAAGCTTTAACATTAAGCATAAGAAGTAATTGTTGCTGGTTAATCTTCATAAACTTAAGCTCTGCATGTTGAATTAGATTTTTAACAAGCACAGAATACCATTTACTTTAGAATTGGTACATATTGAGTAATAAGTATTTTTATAAGTAGCACATGTATTATTAGTAGAGGAACACCAATTAGTCCATGTACATTTTGATTTTAATTTGCATGAAGCTTTTTAAGTAAAGATTTCACATTCTTGATATTTGAGCATCCTTAATCGGTTGTTTAACATTATTCTTATATTTCTAGCAATCTGCATCAGTTGAAAGATTATTTGGTGCTTCTGTAAATACTCTCTCAGCGCATGCTCCTTTTATCGTTCTAACTGTAGTGGCTTTGTATGGGCCATCTTTAGCCAAATATGTGAGCATGTCTCTTCAGTTCCATTGAATGTATTACAATTCTATCCATAATCAATACATGAAGCTCCATCAAAGACACAGAGAAATAAACTTCACATTCATAATCAGATTGAGCTGTAACATTATAATAAAATGTTTATTTATATATGCAGATGAAGTAGTAGTAGCAGTTGCGATAGGTCTGCATTTATCTTTTCCTGTTGCATCAAAAAGGAAATTACAAAATTCTTCGAAAATGAACCACATGCAGTAGTTGTTGCAACACATTTATTGCAATCTGTCTTGCTGGATTTAAGGTAACTTTAGCAATCAAAATCTGTATAGAATTACTTATAACTGCTTGTTCTATCTTAACATTTTGAACTTTTTGCATCCCAAACACAATAATCTACTGATTAATTCAAATTTCTTCACACCATGTTTATTTAGCTGTATTATCACTACCTTATAGTGTATTCCTTGTTAATACATTCGTTAGAATAATAGGGACAGTTGGTGGCATTATCAACACACTCATAGCACTGATATCATTGTCAGTAAAAACTTATGCTATGCATTTCTTAGAAGCAGAAGTAGCTTTAATATATGGATAACTGGCGTTTGATTTAACTGCTTTGTATTCTGTATCCTCTTTATCAGCTGAAGGTTCTTTTACTGCTGTATTATTTCCATCATATGAAGCTCAAGTACCCGCTTCAACACAATTATTTCCTCCAAGATAAGTTCAATTAGTTTCACTTGCATCAGTCAATGTTGCACAAAAAGTGGCTTAATTTTTGGTTACACGATAAATATAACAATCTTTTTAAATATCGCATGTTGTTCCTGAAATGTAATTACATTGAGTGACAGCACTGGCTTTATCACAATAATTCTTCTCATTTCAACTTTAGGAAGTGATTGTTATACATGCTGCTTCCTTATTATAGCATGTGCTTAAGATGTAAACACATTTCTTTCCTGGTGCTCTTCAATCGCAATCGACTTAAGAGGTTGTATTTTATAAATCTTAGCAATCAAAGTCTCTGCACTTAGCATTTCCAATTGTGAATGCACATCTTTATCCAGTATTATTTATTCTGCTTAAACAATATTTTGATTATCAGTATCATTAGTTGTTGGTATTACCGTATATGGAGCACAAGTACCACCACCGACACATTAAGCTGAAGCTGAATTATATTAATCATATATAAAAGATATTGTTTTGCCAGAATTTCAATAGGATTAACAATATGCTACCTTATATTTTACCGTCAATCCTGTGTCCATAGGTGCTTTAGCATTATTAGCACAATCAGCATCGGCTGATACTGTTTCTGGTACATAACATTTATTTTTATAGAAGCTGCAGCCAGATAGATAATTATCACAATCTCCTTAAATAGTTGGTGAAGGAATATCTTCACATGTTGCATCACTACAAACTGTAGTGGAAGTTGCAGCCGTATATTTACAGAATTTAGTTCTTATTTTATGTGATTGAGCTAAACAATAAGCAGCTTTATATGCATTTGAAATTGCATCAGTTTAAGTATCCCAACTACCTGAAGTTGTAATGGTTATACCAGCACAATCCACATTAGTTTATAATATGTACTTATTATTAATTTTATCAAAGCTGCTATGATCAGTAGCTTCTTTGATACATCTACATTAAAGAGATTTTAAGAATCAGTTGTAAATGTATTTGGGATTGATGTGGGGCAATTACTTGAAGTATCAGCAGCATATAACATCACTATAATATAAGCATCATGTTTTATAAGCCTCACATTCTGCTTAGTTTAAAGCTGAATATGTGTCTGAGCAAAGAGGGATGGCATCACATTAACCTCCCGTTCCATACACGCATTTTGTATACTTTGCTGTTCCCTCAGTAATATTAGCTAAATTATCTACAGCCTTCAAACCCCAACATAATTCTTATTTTTTATTTGTATCAAAATTAGAATTAATTTTTTAGTCTGAGCACACAGTTGATAATGTTAGACAAGTTGAATCTGTCACTCTTTCACATTTTCCTCAGAGGAAAAAATTGTTTTAAACGTATTGAATGCGCCATTTTCACATTTTCTAAGTCTACACTTAGAGTCACCTACATTTCCTTCACATAAACCATTTGATCCAATATATCTAAAACAAATAGTGATATCTCCAGAATATGTAATACCTGAAGATTTTCTTATTCCCTAAATACAATTATATTTGTTGTGATTAATCCCTTTTAATAGTCTTTGCACTCATCATCAGAAGTAAATTAAGCATTTACACATTCTTTAGCTTTACGATATGTGTTTCCAGCTGCTAACTCACTATTTCCATCTGATTCAGTATAAGATAAACAACAACCTCATCACCTGTGTAAGTAGTTCAGAAAGGTAATGGACAATTAACAAAACCAGCACCTTTTGTAACACAACCAGTAATCTCTACAAGTTCCAGAATTTATATCCCATATAAAATGGAGAATTCATGAGATACTTGGAGTGAATTCGAATTGTTTTTAATTGCATTCTTTAAATTCTTATGCTTCAGGTATTTCAGTCACTTACATAGAATCAGGATATAGCTTAACAATCTGATGTTGTAGTTTTATCATATGCTGAACATCCTGCAAAATGTGTAGATTTTGAATTGATATAAGCACAACTTAATGTCTTAGCACAATTTTTTTCTGGCTCAACAACAAGCTCACAAAAAGGTTTGAATGAAGTGACTGGATCTGTTGTTGTCTTTTTTTGCTGTTATTGCTCCTGTTGCAGCTACCCATTCACATGTTTTTGTGACTGTTATCTCTGTTTCACAATCGCTCTGTGATTTTAATTATCCACAGTCATTACACTGATTTGGATTTTGTACTTGCAATGTTAAGACCATAGCTATTAAGCAAATGGGAATTAAATTTATAGATAAAAAAAAACACAATTACTACAAATAATTGCTTAATAAATTCTATCTGAACTTGAATCAGAATTTAAATTGAAAGTTAATTGGCATCATTGATATACTAATGCCAAGAAAAAGAGGTCCAAAAAAGGATGTTGTGGATTATCTGTAAAATATAATAATTCAATAATTCAAGTCAAATAACAATAGCAGTATATTAAACTTAAAAGTTATTGAATAGATATCGCAACAGAATTAAGAGAATTAATAATGCTATGCTGAATCAGAAGAGTTTAAGATTGAATGTATTTATAAATGAAAAGACATACTAATTCAATATTACAAATTTCTCATTTCCTTTATTGAATGAACGTTGAAGTATTTTTTTGTTAATATGAGCGCAGGAGAATCATTAGAATCCTTCTTCATAAGAATGATTTTCAATTTTGATGAATAGTCATATCTAAAAAAAATAGAAATGTTAATAGAGAGCGGTGTTAATGAGGAAAATGGTAATTTTAAAGTAGCTTAAAATATAAGTTTAAAAGTGAAACCACCTCAAAACACATATCTAGAAGTAACAGTAGTTCAAGTTGATTGATAGAAGTTAATATATGTTTTTGTTAGAAAAAATTAAATTGTAATTATAAAACTCCTTATTATATTTTTAGAAAACCTAGAAAACATATTAGGGCAGAGGTCTACATAACCTCGAACTAAAAATTGAAAAATGGACAACATTTCAATATAAAAAACCATTATATGAATGAAATAAATAATCATTTAAATTTTACAAAATACACAAGGCAATCTAATATTGGTAAATAGTACAAACAATTTTTAGTGTTTTATCATCAGCTAGTCAATTAGTTTTTAATAATGAATGTGAAGTTCTTGTTGGATTTAATATTCATAATCATACATTTATTAATTAATTAAAAATATGAATCCACTTAATATATAAAGTGAAAATAATGACTTTGAAACCAGTAAGATAGGGTAGTTAAGAATGAGTAGGAGGGACCTTAGACTTTCTCTAATTTCAGTGTTTAAGATGATATTAAATAACAAAAGATTCATTATTATTTTGAGAGAAAAAAAAAGAGATTAATTAGATATTTTACAATTATATTAATAAGAACTTTATTCATAATTTGATAATAGAAAATATTTTTTTCCAAAATGTATATGCTGAAAATGACAGAGTTTTTTGGTGGAATAGATTAATTTTATGATCATCTCTTATTTAATATGGCAGGAAGTGTTCATAAAATGGATATCTATAATGATATTCACAATTAAATTAATACTTTAAATGTTGGATTTATGTATTGATTTTTGCCAAATATAATACAATTCTATTCGAGTGTATTTATTTTAACATTCTTTTAGTTGATAGAGATGATTAGTGTTTATTTGAGTTATTTAATTAAATAAATGTAAAAAAAAACAATTAAACATTATTATTTAATAAATATTTAATGTTATTTAATATATTAGTGGAATAGTTAATCGAATATTAATACTAAATAAATTAAATAACATCTCGTAAAGTAAATCAAATCATCATTATATTCAGATCCCAGATGATAGGATAGTTGAGAAGTCGTAATCATTTATGAGAATAAGTTAATAACTTCTCTTTATATCCCAAGTTATGGAAATCCATCCTCTTTTGTTTCTTGATTAATATTCTCTGTAAATTCTTCTGTATTTAATTACAAGAATAAGATTCATACAAAATATTTTAGGAATTTTGATTAGAAACAGATAGATAAATAAAAATAATTCAAATATAAAATATGATAAATCTATTTTGAGTGTATCATATTTTATTCATTTTATATTCCCTTTAAGAATAAGGTTAACAATATAGTAAAACATTCTACAATATTGAAAAAAAAACTAAATATATTTTAGGTTTCAATTCGATATGTATTTTAAATATCCTTTTTCTTGTTGATATTGAAATATTAGCGCAAATCTAAATTTATAATGAATTGGTAAACATTGAATAAGCAAATAATTGTATGCATAACAGATAAAAAGGCTATGCAAATTCAATCTTAAATGTTAACTAGATCAAATTTTACATTAAAAAAATAAATTTGCCTTATTTAATTTTTCAAATTGCTATAAATACATAAAGTTACTTAAATAATATTTTATAACTTTTTACAATATTAGGTTTAATTTGAATATGAATGGAGGGTTTCATTCTTTTTAGCAAATTATTAATATTTTGATTGATAATTTGAAAGAGTAGCATTTTTTTATTTTTACGTTATTAATGTTATGTTTAATCAGAAAATATGTGTTCAAATGCTTAAGTTTGAACTTCTAGTAAAATATTGTTAATTTTGTTAAATCTAAGAAATTTATTATTTTAATTGTAAAATTGTGATGATTGTTTATTGAGTTATCTGAACGAATTTTAAATTAAATAAAATCTATGTTAAAGAAATTTTTGTTAGACTTTTCTTTAAAAAGTAGAAAGATTTTTAAACATTAAAATGTTATTTGTCTCTGTATTTTTTAACAAAAAAAGGAATTTTAGTTTCATTAGTTCGCTTACTTTCAATTCATCACTAATTTTAAATTTTTGGATTAAATTAGTAAGATCTAAACTAATTTTATTGATTAAGCGCAAACCAAGCAAAGGAAATAGAATAAAATGAAAAGCTTTTTCATCATTTTTTATAAGATCTTACAAAATTAATTTTTAAGAATCGAACTTAAGTGTAATTGATATTCTATATAACTTCCAATGTAAAAAAATAAATTGCTCTAAGATTCTTTACATTATAGCTTAGAATTAAAGAACCACCAAATTATTCTCAAATAAATAGGTTAAAAGAGTCTTTCTAAATCAAAATACCACTCGAAAGAAGACAAATTTAAGCTCGAGCTCAATAAAAAAATTTAGTTAAATCTGATTTCTTGAGATTTACATTAAATTTATGGTATAACAGATATGAAAAAATCTAAATAATTCTACAGCTGAGTTTAAATGTATATTTCTTCAGTAATATTTACAAGAAAATATTCCAAATAAGAATTAAATTTGTATTCCTATTAAGGATGAATATCAATTTCAGATCATATAAAAGTTTGAAAAACTATTAAAAAAGGTATATATTTAATAATTTAGATTTGCTTAGATAAGAACAACTTAAAATTAGGATTTTAGAGTGGAATAAATGTATGATGAAAGTCTGATAATCTCATATATTTATTTCGATAAAGGTGATATTTCATTAATCAATTAGATATTTCTAGGAGAAATTTAAAGAAGTTAAGAGCTCACCAGAGGAATCAATAGAATTGAAATTTTCATTAAAATTAAGTTCGATTTAGTTAAAGAAAGAAAATACAGGAAATGGATCATAAATAATATTTCTTGAAATGTACTGTTCTTTTGAAATTTCTGTTAATGGAAGCTAAGATGAGATTATTAAAATTTAAAGCTTGCATTTCGGGTTTAATAAATAAAGATGATGTACAACCTATTTGTGTAAATTATATAAAATGAGAAGGATTGATGATTATTTTCTAAGACTTCTCTTAATAATTTTTTATTATATGGAGTTTTAGAAAATTTTCTTCCTATTACAGCATAGGAAAGTTAGATTGAATCATGTAGTGAATATTTTATATAGATTGGAACTATTCGTTTTGATAGATAGCCCCAGAATCATTTTCAATAATTTTATTCTTGACTTAGATAACTTATGTATAACTAATGCACTCTTTCGATAATAAATATATAATATTTGAAAGATAGAAATTGAATATTTAATGGTTTAGATTTTACACTAATTATCTTTAGTTCTTAAGTATTGATAAGGATATTATGCATAAAAAAATAAAAAATTACTTTCTACATAAAGATAATTATAATCTTTGGAATTAATGTTTCTTTATATAATTCATATCTCTTAATCGAAATTGGTCTAAACGGTGAGTTAAACATATTGCTTGTTTTATTCTTTATGCTTAAATCTAAAAATACTATAGTATATTACTATTTTCTTAGAATATTGTTTTTCTTGAATAGAATTTATCTGATTTTTCCGATAATTTCTTTTGATTTTTCTTCTTTTTATCTCCATTTATTTAGTCTATTTCTAAGAAATTTTGTAATTGCAAAATTAGATTTAAAAGCTGAAAACATATTGATGAGTAAGGAAATAACTTTTACTTTGTGTTTGATAATATAAGTATTTAGAATATTCATAATAAATGGATAACTCAATATAATACTATCTACAATGATAAATGTTTGAATTATTGCTGAAATATTATGATTTTCTTATTATTCAGTTATATATTTGAGAACTGCTAAAAATATTGCAATTAAGCAAAATTATACACTTTAATTATCTAATTAATTAAGTTTCTTAAGAATATAAGGTTGATATTTATAGGAAATCAATTAGTAAAACAATAAGCAAAGGCTTAATAATTATGCTTTAAAAAATATGTCAGTTTAGAAATATATTAAGATAAGAATGATAATAGTTTTCTTCCATAATTTTATAATTTCCCAAAAATAACTATTTTAAGTATATTCATTAAATAAATATCCTAAATGTCTTCGAAACTTTATTTTATCATGTTAACCTCTATTGGTGTACAATATAAAAAATATTAATAAGGGGAAAATTAATCCAATTAAGAAAGATCCAGGTATTGAAAATCCATATATCCAAGATATATGACTTTTAGATCCATACAATAATGATACATCAGCCGATATGTAATTTATTTTTGAAATCTATCTAACAACTAAAATAGAAAAAAATCTAATTATTATAATTAAATATTATTACTGATTAAGTAAAGAAGCATAATTTTGTACATACATTTATAAGATAGTAATTGAAATAATCATGCTTTTGAATTTAGTGTTTGTAATTATTGAAACAATTTTAAAACCAATAAAGATTGCTAATATTTAACAAAGCATAAGGACTAACATAACTATGATTCTACTATAAATTAATTCTATCTCTTATATTTCAGACAAAAAACATTCAAAAAAATTGGTCATAAAATATGAAGTATCATTTGATTATTTAAAAATACCTAAAGATATGGTTAAGTTAATATTAAATGTAAAGATGAGTGAAAATATCCATAAATAATTAAGAAATAATTTAAATAAAATACTTTCATGATCTAAATATTTAATATAATTAAATTAATACCTTAATTCAGTTTGAATAAAATATGAGCAAACTTTTATCTAAGTTTAAGTTATGCAAATAATATATTCGATTTTTCTATACTCCCAATAGTTAATAGTGTTGATAAAATAGCCCTATCATTTATTATAATTTGCAATACCATATAGAAATCAAAAAAAATGCTATCAACCGTTTAGTAGTATCCTAACATTGCTCACACTCTACTGATTATTAATTTTTAAAGAATTATCCTTCTCCTCTTATATTAAATCTATCACATTCTTCACAAAGTCCTCCTAAATGGCCCTTAAAACATAGTTCATTATTAACACCCCAACCTCCTTAACAAAGATTTTGGTTTTTATAACATAATTCTACATCATCTGAAGTGTAATGTGGTCTCCAATATCCAATTTTTAATAGAATTTTATTAGATGTAATTGCTTCAAATTTATTTTTATCAAAAATTGAACATTTTGTTGTATTATATGTGACTGAATAAAACCCTTATTCTGATTAACATTATTGGCAACTCGAGGAAATATAAAACTCCCCTAATTAACAGAGAAAGGCTTTAACTCTCATTAAATATGCTAAACTCTCATCATAATAATTTGTTTTACAATTAATTAAAACTTCTTAAACTTTGTCATCTTGCTAAAAAGGATCCATAATAAAATCTAAAAGACCTAAGTTAAAACTTTTTGTTTCATTTTCAAAATTTATTTTCGATATTTGGGTTGATTCCATTACTTTTTATTCTTATATATCAAATAATTATTGTATTATATTACAAGAAGTGTTTAAAAAATTATTTTATTGTTCATTCAAGCTATTTTTAAATAAAATCCTAAAATCATGAATGTAAGATTAATAATTCTAAAGCTTAGGATTATAAAGTTGATATTTTGATATTTATTGACCGCTTGGAACAAATAAAAATTATGCATGTATTTAACGATCTTATGATATGATTTTATATGGTTTTAAAATTAATAATTATACTGGATGATGTTCAATTGTTTCTTATTGAGAAACCATTTCTATATGATTAAGAAATAAAGATAATCTTGAGGGTGATTCATTTAAATTATTAGAAAATTATTAAGCTTAATTTAATATGAGTAGAGATTAAATAAAATTATTTTGATTTAATCTGTTATTTCCACTTAAATATAATCCCCCTGCTTCATTTGCTTAATTGTTACAAATTGCTGTAGATAATATTTTAAAGTTATAATCGCTTAATTCAAAATAGATACCACCTCCTTTCTGAGATGCTGTATTCTTAATAATATTTGAATTTGATATAAGAATTCTTAAATTTTAGACATAAATACCTGATCCTAAACTTCCATCATTAGAAATAAAAGTTGATTGATCAATTAACATTTTACCTTCCAAATTATCATTTGATTTAGCTGCTATACAACCATATTATTTTATTTTGTTTTTCATACAATATAATTCTTAAACTTGAATTTTCTCTACATTTATAATATCAAAATACAGTAAACCATTCCAACAATGATTGCAGATATTATTAAAGATTATAATATTACTTAATAAGGCCCTTGTTAAATTTGTGATACTCTTTATCCTAATGAATGATCCAGTATGATTTGACTTTGAAATAATTTCATCAAAAAATGCATCAACAAATTCTTATTTTTTAATTTATTGGATTATTTATTAATTGTTTAGATTACAAAGAACAAATTTTAAATTAATATGATCCTGCATATAAAAAGTTAAATTTTTTGTTAAATTCTAATATTAGAAATCAATTAAATTTGTGATTCTGATGTTATTAATAATCATTGTAGATTATAAAATATTGTTTTATTATATATCTATAAAATTTAAGGGATAAAAAGTTGAAATAAAAAAAAATTGTAAATGACCCAATTTTATATAATTTGAATCTCTAATTTTGACTATCGAGGATAAAATGATTCCCTCTATTCTTAATCCTATGAACTATATTTGACATCCTAAGAAATTCATCATAGCATTGTCATCAATAACTTTTTGAAGTTCTAATGAACTAATTTTTCCAATCGATTGAAGGAATTTAAATAAAGCTTATTCATTTTAAAAAATGCTAAGATTTTCAATAAAAATTTTATTCTTATTTGCGTTTTAAAATTCAGATTAAAAATTAATTATTGAATTAACAAGAGAAAAGCAATTTTTAACAGTGATATTTTTAAATCTAATGTTATTTTATTTCAATGATGGATATATTGAAAATATGGATGACGATAGTTTATTATATACATTTTCTAAAGTAATATTTTCAAGGAATATTTTTAATAAACTTTTCCTGCCATTTATGGTAATAGCTCCATCATTTTCAGAATTTGAAATTAGTGAATTTTATGCATGAATAATGCTACAATTATTTATGATACCAATTCCCTCTCCTTATAAATTAATGTTAAGAATTAAATTGCTTTCAGCTAAAATATAACTAAAGAATCCTTTATTAATTGTAAATTTTGAAACAAATATTGAGAAAATACCTCCAATATTCTATATTTTATAAGTTTATTAAATTGCATAAGAAATTTCATCATAATTGTATTCTCCTAAGAATTGAACATCATAATATTTTATCCAAAGTTCTTTGTTTAGCCAATTATGATTGAAGACAGTAATATTTTCTAAATAAACTTCCTCTGAAGATATTGAAAAAAATGATTACGAAGAATTTGTCATAGAATTATAAATGCAGAAAATGTGTTTCACAATTATAAAACTTTATTTTGTGTCAAAATACATCAAGCTGGCTTAAGTTTAAGAGGGATCTGATTAATATTAATGGAAAATATTTTCTTCAAAAGTTAAATTATTTATTGCTATATTTAAAGAATTTTTTGAATAAAATTCCATTAAAGAAAAAAGTATACCTAAATTCTGCTTTAGTAAAATGTTTCCCTTCATTATAGAATTTGATATAATTATAAATTCATTTTAATTTGATGTATTCAAAGGATTTGAATAAATTGATATTAATGATAAATCTACACTAAATTAACTTTTCACTTGTATATTCTTTATAATAACTCTATTAAATCCAAAAATTTAAAGTAATTGTGACTGTGGAACACAAATTCTTAAGCAATCAAATTAATAAGGCACTTTATATTCCTGAACTTAATTTTCATACATTAAATTATCGATTTGAATTTAATGTATATCTAATAAATTTAAGAAACGATAATTTGTAGTATTTTTTAGAAAAATATTTTTAATTATTAAATTAAAACAGTTTATTGAGATTAGAATATCGTCGTTTCGACAAGAAGGAATATTATCTTCAAAATGAAAATTTAATAATAAAAAGTCAATATTATTAAATAATTATTTTTGTTAAGTAATAAATAATGAGCAATTTGTTAAATGATTTTTTTTTACTTATAAGTTCTTTATCTAAATTTCTTTTATTGATAGCATTGATTAGATTTATGCAATTAATTAAAGCTAAAGAAAATAATTATCAATAATTTTAATATCATTACAATAAAAGTTGTAATTAAATACTATAAATTAAGAATTTAGCATCTTATTATTGATAATTGATAAATTATTAATATTTAAAATTGTTGTGTCTGGGCTATATATAAGTTTTGAATTTTCAAATAAACAATTTGATATCACTAATTCATTTAAGAATACATTAGATATACTATTTTAATCCATTTAAAAAATAAAAATTGATGAATTTTCAAAGGTACATGAATCAATTGTAAAATTCTTGATAAAAATGATACTCTTTACATTATAAAAATAAAATAAAGTTGAATTTATTATTCTACAATCCTAAAGTTTTATATTGTTAATCATAATATCTTCATTCAAACCTTAATAAAATATATCAAAAATTATTGAATTTTCTATGGTGATATCTGAAATTGTAAAATTCTCAATATTAAATTAATAAAAGCTATCTGCCTTAATAGATATTTATGTAGGATAACTTTGTTATGAATAAAACTTTGTATTTAAAATGTAAAAATTAATTGATTGACCTCTATTTGTCATTATCATTTCCATTTAAGTTGATATTTAAAAAATACAATTACTTATTACAATTTAATCATGGTTTAATATTACCAATTTAATGTTTTTTAGTATTATTATAGGGTTTATATTACCCTAAAGAATTAATTCGCTTTTTCTTATAGAAAATATATTTTCCTTAAAATAGTTTTAAATTATGAATTCTTTATAAGAAAATTGACAATCTAATATTAATTTTATTGTGACCGCGATATATTTGAGTCCAATTTCATTTAAATATTTATAATTATATTCAGCATCATTTATAATTTCTATTTAATTGCATTTTATATCATTCTAAGTTAGTGAATGTAATATTACATATATAATTTCTAATTTATAGTTACAATTGTCTTAATAACAATATTAAGCAATCGCTAGGGTTGGATCAATATGAATTTTGCTGTCAAATGGAACTTTTTAGATGCACCTAAAAGTATATATTGAGTTTTCTGTATCTTATATAAAATAAGGATTTATTTGCTATTATAATTATTTCTAATACATTAATCTCATCAGTAGATCTATTCTAGCAAACTTAACACAATGAAGGGCATTCTATGCATTTTCTATCAACTGATACTCTAATTAGTTCTTTGTAATAATTTCTCTTGCATTTAGAACAATAAAATGTGGAGGATGGTGACAATTTTTCTGTTTCACACACTGAACAAGATTCATCACAATATTGTGGGCAATAGTTGTCTAAAACTCGATATCCTTGATGACACTCAATTACTATTTCATTTGGTCTAGATATATCATAATTTATTCTAGTTTTAGGTGGCAAAAATTAGATTATAAAACCTTAAAATTACCATTTCCCTGGTTCTTATAAATTATCTTATTAGCATTATTTTGAATTTAAAATAGGACAAATGCTACAAACTCCTGTAATAGAAGAGACTATATAACCATCCTCACAAATTAAACATTTTATTGTTGTTTATATAGTTTTGATACATTATTTACAATGTAGAATAAGGTCTTGGCAATTTATTTTTTCTAAAGAGATAGTGAAATCATTTGATAGTGTGCAAATTTCTCTATCATCAAGACTAATATAAGATCTAAGGCAATTTTATTAAGTTGGTTTTTAATTGATACAAGTTGATGTTTTAAATTCAAATACATATCCTTCTACACACTAAGCACAACCTAATTTTATCTCTTCATCATTAAGTGAAAAAATTTCTAAATTTTCAAGTGTAGATTTTGTTGGATCACTAGCTAAATAATCAAAACAATATAAACAATTTTCTAGTTTACAAGTAACACAATTCTTATAAAAATTTATGTATTTTGGAGCATAACAAGGATTATTGGCAAAACTAACATTTGGAGTCCTATCTAAACAAAATTAATTTGTTGATGAAATTGCACATTACTTACATGGATTTATACACAAATAACAATTTTTATTTATTGATTGACTGGCAGAGCAAAAATTTTTGAATATCAATGATGCTTCAATTAAATCATATGGTGCTTTCAAATTCAAATCACAATCAGGACAGTTTTTTAATTCATCTCCTGCAAAAACGTATTATAAATTTTCTTTATTAAAATATTTAGTAACACTTCCATTCTGATGAACAAGGAAAGAAGTTTAACAAAGAAGAGTATGAATCCATGATTTTGGATTTAAAATACATTCTAAACATGTTATTACAGTAGTTGTAATAATTGATGGACTAAATATAAAAAATAAATTATACCATTTATAACAATCACCGTTAATTTCAAAAAAACCATATTGACATTATTTTTCAATTTACTAGGCATCAATTTTATTTAATTATAATGTTTAATAATTAATACATTCATTATTCTAATCAATAGTTCCATATTCACAAATACAAACTTTATATTCTGATATATATCTTCTATTTGAATCTTCATAACATGATAAACAATCATCTTTTGTTGGACCATCACATTCTTTGCATGTTGGATGACAATTTCTCTACGGACTATTAAAATCAAGACAATTAAATAATTAAAATCCTGTAAGTTGAAGAGTTAAATAGTTAGATTTTGATTAAAAAATATTTCCATATAGTAATTTAAATTATACCATTTAGAATTAAACTACCTCTAAAGTAAAGCTAAATTTTTCTTAATTATATCCCTAATAAAATGTAATAGTAATTGAAATAAATTAATCTAATTTTTCAACAAGAAGGTAATGCCACAATTAAATATCATTGGTCACTTCAAATTCTACTTTCTTTAAATAAGGATTGGTTGAAAAATCAATATTTACAACAGGCAAGGTATAGCTATAAGTAGTTAAAATGATTTAATTTATCTATGTTGATAATTTGTATAATAATTAAAATGCAGATAAATTTTCTTAAGTCAATTAAGGATGTTAAAAATTACCCATTAATTTTAATAACAAAAACTAAAATTCATTAGAATTGTTATTAATTTCTAAAATTTTTATCCATCCTGCTAAAAGAAATTATTAACAATTAGTATTTTATGATAAAAATTCATAAATATCTTAATTTTAAATTTTAACATCTGGTAAATCCGTTATTTAATTATTTTTGCAAATACATGGTTTTTATTCCCTTAATTAGATTAATTAAAAAAATTAATCAGGTCTATCATAAGAACAACTTTAAAGATATGATATTTATCCTGGGAAATATGATAGTAACTTATTTTCAAATAAATAAAATTTTGATGCCTGTTCTACTTTAAAATCTCCGCCAATTATTTAAATAAAAATATATTCTTTAAATGGAAACCTAATTGATATATCTTTAGAAAATATTTAATTCGTTTATTATTCCTTAATATAGATAGTTACTCTTTTTTCTAAAGGACTTGCCAAGAATCCATTGAAAAACCAAGAACCTTCATATGAACTTAAATCGAATGAAATTTATTCAATTGTAACTCTATTATCACTATCTAAAAATTAAAAGTATTTCTTAACAATTTTATCCTCAAAACTTATGCATTCAAAATATAAAAAATATAAATTTTTTTCTACTTTTTCTTAAATTCTAAATTAATGAAAGCAGCTACTATCAAGTATTCCGTATTCTCCTGTTTATACAATATTACTCAAAGGTACATATTTACTCCAAACTCCAAAACATGCACTTTCTCCACCAACATTACTCGATTATTGTATTACAAATTATTTAAATGGGTATTATGGTGGTAAAATTGAAATGCTCCAACACAAATATGTTTGAATTTCAAAACATATTACTATCAAAAAAGAAAAAGATATAGTTTACTTCATCTATAATTAAAAATATTTTTGATTATTTGTGATTAATAAATGATTAAAAATTTAATTTTTTGCTATCTATTAATTTGTAGCACAAAATAAAAAAACTCTTAGTTAATTATGGCAACATCCAGAATTAGCAATATTGACATGAGATAAATTTCTTAAGACAAAACAATAAAAGTTTTCGTATTCTCGCATTAATACAAAATTCCAATAAATATTAATTTTTAGAATATTTAATCAAGAATTTATAGAGAATTGCAGAACAATAATTCTGCAATGAAATTCAAGTATTTAAATATCCATAAATCCTGAGTGTTATTAAAGAAAAGGCAAGGTAATTTAATTGATGATAATATTTAATTTACGCTAACACTGACTCAAATGATAGAAAATTTTGAATTATAATATTAATCATTTTGATTAATTATTTAATTTTACTCAAATATTATCTTTGTAATTAGAACAATTTTTCGAGAAAAAGGTGAGTTTTATGAAGCAGAAAGATAATAAATTTGAAATTTATTTAATAGATACATTATTATTATAATCAAAAATATAATCAACTAATTTTATGTTAAAAAATTTAAACATCAAATAATTCGGAAATACTTAATTGAAATGTCTCTTTTTGGGATTTCAATTATATTTTTTAAATACATTTATATTTTAATATTTTTATTCATTAAATCATAAAATTTAAATTTGATATCAGCATAGATGTTCTATTGGGATTTAATTTTTAAAATTAACTTTTTAAGCATTGATACAATTTAGAAGATACTTTAGACGGAGCAAAATTATGTTATTATTTGAAAATCTCATTATTTTAATCATGATTCAAACTTAATTTTCTTGAGTTCGATTCTAATAAAAAATTCATATCTGTTGTTGCTATGAAGTTTTTCTTGCCATATGTATTAGATTTTGGAAAAAATAATCCTATTTCTATCCATAAAAAGAAATATAATTATTTAGTTTTAATATAATTTTTGGATATTAATTTCAACCAGAATTTTATGGAGCTTTATGAATAAAAAGCTCAGTCACATTATAAATTAACTTTCAATCTAAAAATAAAAATAATTAAGTTTATTGATCAGAAATAATATATAAAAAATAGCATTTTCAGATGCTAAAAATTATTATGAAGAAGAAAATGAACTTGAAGCTTAAATAGATATATCAAAAATGTCTTTGGAATTAATAATATCATCTATGGTAATTAAGATAAATACAAGGATATGATTAGAGAGAATTTGATCGTCTTATTAATATATATTAAAAAATTACTTAAATAATTGTTATTAATTCTCTTATCACATCAGGGATTACCATTCAAAATTATTTAAATCAGAATTTATAATTTAATTAAGAATAATATAATGAAAAAAAATAATTTATTACAAATTTGAAAATTTAGATTGCAGAATTTCTGTAACTCAGAATTACTAAATTCTAAAAGATTTGAATATCATATAAGAAAAAAGACTAATTTCAATTTTATTAATTAAACTGACTTCTTGTTAATGTCATAAATTAATTTTTAAATGATGTCTTACAACTTCTATAATCCAAATTTATAATTAAAAGATTTCTTACTTCAATTTTGTAAAAACTTTTTCACATATAATTAATAGCATTTCTCTCAATATAATAATTAAATCAAGATTAACACTGAAAATTTTAATAGCGGTATAAATGTTTAGATGATAAAAAACAATGCATTCAAAGTTCTCTCTCAGATTCATTTTTGGTTGAATTTTGTGCTCAATCTCCTTATCAAGAAATAATTAATTGACTCGTTTTAAATGGAGAAAAGCTCTAGCTTTAACCAATCAAAGAGGAATCTTCCAAACCTATTTTGATCATTTACAATCTGTGTGTTTAGAGGATTCAAAATTTTAAAGAAAAAAATTCAAAAGGCCCTTATAAGTAGTATATACACCTATTATTATTTATTCCACTTAAAAGAATCTGCAATTCAAACTTGTCTAATACTATTTCAATAGATTTACATTTTAAAAAAAGAAGTAACCCAGAAAGATTGAATCTATAATCAATCTCTAAGATTTGGAATCCATGATATTAAATTCAATAGAATCTGTTGCCTTCTTATAGTTGAAAGATTAATTGAATTCAATATTCTTCAAGAAGAACATAGCAGTGAGAATTTATTTTATATTCTTGATAAACTGTTAAAGATTTTGACTGAATACCCAATTGGCTATTTAGGTAAAAAAATTGAAAACTATAGATATATATTTTATAATGTAAATATAAATTATCTCTTGTTTTTGATTCCGATGAATGGCAAGAATGAAAAATAAGACAGTTATTAGATCCTTTATTGAAAAAAGATATTCGATTTGGACCTAATAGGTACTAGAATAATTTTAATTTATTTTGCAATGACATATCTCGAAATACTCATTGAAATATTTAACTAATAATATAAAAATTGAACCAATTTATTTCAGCCATAAAAAATTATTATATATCTCTAACATATAACCATCCATCTTAAAATGATATTAATTAAAAAATACACTAATTTAGAGCATTACAATGAAAATTAAACCAAAATATTATAATCAATTATTATTGTTACACTACACACTAAACATAATTCATTGTTCTTATTTTCATATATTCTAGATATATTAACCTTCTTAATGAATTTTGTTATATTTTATCAACTCATTTAGATTCTATGTTTTTATTTATTTTTTGTTAATATTCCAATTATGGAAAATGAGAATTCTTCAAGAATTTATTTTATATTTATTCTGCTGATAGATTAGTAACAAGTTTTTATTAATATATAGAATATTTTAAATTCTAAAAGGATAAATTATATTTCTATCTATATATGTCATCATGTTACAAGAAAATTCTTAAATTTTTTAAACTATCCAAAATAAAAAACTAGAACAAAACTTTAGAATTGATTGGAAGTTCTTAAATAAATTTATATCCTATTGCCAATATTCAATATAAATTAAAAAAAAAATCAATTAAAATTTTTAACCATAATTTATTTAAGCTCCAAATAATTTTTTATTTACTTATCAGAATTACAGGTTATTAATGATTAAAAAAATAATACTTTCATGTATGTTTCGACTTCACAAAGAGATATACTATTACAATTAAGAGTTAGAGTCTCTGTTCGCTATAAAATAAACGAAAAAAGGATATTTGATGCACAGCCAAAGCATCGCAGAGATGTGGCCTTCTTAAAGGTCTTAGATCTTGAATGAAATCTCCCTTTTTGTGATAATACCTATGTTAAAAATTTACATTTTTAATTATTAAATTAAAAAGTAAAACGTAAAACTTAATGAGGACATTAATAAATATCTATATAATTATATTAATTAAAATTTCTCGGAAGTATCAACATTAGTAAATATATTAACGAAGGTATAGATGAAAAACTTTTGATGTAATTCTTGGTTGAGTACTTGAGATTGTAAATGAAAATTTGATATGTAAAAAAGCGTTGTCTAGCAGGAAAATCAAGAATCATTTTTTTAGCACAAAATTTAGATTATTATGACATAAAAAATATAACATGATTTGAATTAATTTTAATAAGAGAATTCATATTATTATAATTTAATTTGCTTAGATTATGTTTTTGATTGTAAAACTTGACAAACATGGATTTACACTTGCTTAAATTATAATTAAAAATTTTTTTATTATAAAAGACATTAATATTCAGAGGTCATATGAGATATTTTTTCTGAAAATGTTAATTTATATAATAATAAAATATTTATTTTACAAATTAATGATATTTTATGATATTTTAATTGATAAATTAAATATTTTATTATTTTTAAATGATAACTATATTTTTGAATATTTTTTTTAATATAGGCAAGATATTTCTGTTATTAGCTTCACATTAAATGTTTATATGAGTTAGGATAAAAGGCTTACTCCAAATTGTAGTGAAAACTTTTTCTTAGTTTGATTTTAATGTAAAGTAAACTTAGAATTTAGTATATTTAGTTAATAATGTTTCTATAGATTTAGGTAATTATAAAATAATTTCAATAATAACATGTTATTTCATTGTAAATTAAAATATCATATAAACAACATGTTATCTGATGAGATAATGGGTTTAATATAAAAAAAAAAAATATCTTCTCAATTAATTAAGTATTTTATGTTTTCCATAAAAATTCTTAAATTTATTTTAATAGTTTACTTATTTTGCATAAAAATGCTGTTAAAGTTAGTATGAAATTGATAAATGTTATTTTTTATCAATCATTTAGATTTATCTATAATTTTTAAATTCTTCTGATAAATCTAACCTTCTTGATTTAATTATACATACATAAAGGTTAATGACTTTTACTATTTATTAGTAAAAGGGTAAATAGATTTTAAATTATATAGTATCTTTGAGTATTATTTGGATATNGTAAATGAAAATTTGATATGTAAAAAAGCGTTGTCTAGCAGGAAAATCAAGAATCATTTTTTTAGCACAAAATTTAGATTATTATGACATAAAAAATATAACATGATTTGAATTAATTTTAATAAGAGAATTCATATTATTATAATTTAATTTGCTTAGATTATGTTTTTGATTGTAAAACTTGACAAACATGGATTTACACTTGCTTAAATTATAATTAAAAATTTTTTTATTATAAAAGACATTAATATTCAGAGGTCATATGAGATATTTTTTCTGAAAATGTTAATTTATATAATAATAAAATATTTATTTTACAAATTAATGATATTTTATGATATTTTAATTGATAAATTAAATATTTTATTATTTTTAAATGATAACTATATTTTTGAATATTTTTTTTAATATAGGCAAGATATTTCTGTTATTAGCTTCACATTAAATGTTTATATGAGTTAGGATAAAAGGCTTACTCCAAATTGTAGTGAAAACTTTTTCTTAGTTTGATTTTAATGTAAAGTAAACTTAGAATTTAGTATATTTAGTTAATAATGTTTCTATAGATTTAGGTAATTATAAAATAATTTCAATAATAACATGTTATTTCATTGTAAATTAAAATATCATATAAACAACATGTTATCTGATGAGATAATGGGTTTAATATAAAAAAAAAAATATCTTCTCAATTAATTAAGTATTTTATGTTTTCCATAAAAATTCTTAAATTTATTTTAATAGTTTACTTATT